ATTTCCTTTACCAGCATCCCTCTTTCCTTCTTTCCTACAACTGTCTTTGAGTTCTGTCGGTCCCCCCTCATGCTCCCCCACCTTTACCCATCCTTTTCTACTTCTCTCTCTCTTCTTCGCTCTCTCTCCCTTGTCTTTCTCTCCCTTTCAGATGTCAGATCACAGTCTAGTCTTCCGCTTGCCCTGTCATCACATTTTTCACACAACCCTATCCTTTAATTGGGCCTGTATCATCATATCATATCATGTAGAATACCTGATCACAGCAAGAGATGAAAGATGGCCTCCACCTATCCCCTCACAGGCAGACAGACACACACACACACACATATGCCGTAGACTCACACCAACACGCACAGCCAAGCTCATACAAAACACACGTCAGTGGTCGTATGGGACAGGAATCCTAGCTGATGGCTGTGTCTGTGTACATTTTTACACCTCATGTTTGCGCCAACTTGTTGATGTGATTGTTACAGTGTGACAAGTGAGAGGGTGTGTATTCCAGAAGTGTCCAATGTTGTTTGTATCAACTGCTAGTGGCTTTTGTGATGACACAAAAGATGCCCTGGAGCCAGCAATGTCACATCTACAGGTAACTAGCAAGAAAAAAAAAGGGGGGGGGAAACATCAACAAAAGGTGTCTCAGGAGTGCTAAAATAGCTCCAGCTTGTCCTGGCATCAATTTGAAGGATGCAACATAAAATTCTGTGCAAGCTCTCCAGTCATTCCTGATCCTGGCCTGATCCTTCATTCCAAAAACATGTTATAAAAAATTAGCCATATAATGAATAAACAGGCTTTTATTTTAGATCATGTTCATTCTCTACTGGCCTCTTCCATTCATCTAGATAAAACCAGTGCTGACAGAGATAAGGTCATGCTTACAAATTGCAGTATGAGAATGCACCCGTATTGACAATCACATGGTGTGGTTAGCATGTGGTGTGCTTCCAGGACTTTCACAGTCGTCATTCAGTTTCATAAGCTTAATTTATTTTCTCTCATGGTGTCAAATTGCCAACAAATCTAATTTATGGTTAACATGTTGAGTTAGCATTTTGCGGTTTCCATCTAATTAACTCTATCTGTGGTGATCATGTAATGGATAGCCATTGAATGTTTTTAGAGGAACAAATTTTGCTTTGGTTTGGTTTACAGCTAGTATGCATCTAATCCTGTAGCACAAATTGTAAGTGTGGTCTAATTTGCATGTTAGGCAAAACTTTAATATGTTTGAACACAGAGACAATAGTTTTAATAGCTTTATAGTTTCAAATCTTCTGGTACACAGAACCTTGTACCAGTAAAATCTGAAGCTCACACTAGTGTCAACTGTCTATTAATTATGTATACATACTTGTACAGTCTAATTATTTGGGTCTGAAGTCTTACTAAATGTTGCCGAATCATCAATAGTCAATCCTGTCTTACTGTGCACAAATGTAGTTTTATTTAGTAAGGAGCCCTGCTTTGAAAATAAATAAATAAATAAATAAATAAATAAATGCTGTATAGTCACTGAAATAGTATGCTAGATCTCTTATTCAAAAGCATTGCATCATTGCAAATTTACTGATTTCATGTGCTGGTTAACACAAGGTCACAGGTCTGTTTTCTGTGGGTTTTGTAAGTTTAAACAATACACTCCCTGACAAAAGTCTTGTCTTATAAGGATATAGTAACCTAAAATGTCATATAACTTTATTTCTAATCATTCAGTTGTCACAATAAATTGTTAATTTTAATGTCAAAGGCATTCACATTAATAACTGGGTGCAAAATTAAACCATCGAAAAGTGTCCTGATGTTCATAGCTTGGTAAAGCCCATAACATCTGTTTCTGTAAGGACAAATGTCTTGCCGTATCTTTAAAGGATTCAACCAATCACAGATTAGAGCATTACCTGTGACAAATACTGTAATTAACACATTCCCAGATGTGTATAAGATAAACCCCAGCACACCCAACCTTCATTTGAAATGCAACCTGACCTCTGACGGCATGCCAAAGATTCAACCACAGAACAAAGTGCTGGTCATCAAGAGCCTGAAGACCAAGTCTCCTGCTGAGGTGGCAGACATCTTTAATGTATCTAAACATCAAGTGGAGAGGATAAGAAAAAGATTTGAAGAAACTGGTGAAGTTCATGACAGGCCCAGGTCAGGCAAATCCCGTAAGACAACTGTTCGAGAGGACTGTTTGTTGCTTCGACAGTCCAGGGCCAGCCCTTTTTCAACTGCAGCAGAGCTAAATAAAAACTGGTCACCAGAAACCCCTGTATCTACAAGAACAGTTTGTCAAATTCTTTCACGCAGTGGTCTCAATGGCCGAATTAGTGCTCAGAAACCAGCAATATGGCACTCTTTCTCATACTTCAGCCTCCACATCAAAGTTCCTGAAGGTAAAGAAGGTCAAGGTGCTCCAGGATTGGCCAGCCCAGTCACCAGACATGAACATTATTGAGCATGTCTGAGGTAAGATGAAGGAGGAGGCATTGAAGATGAAACCAAAGAATCTTGATGAACTCTGGGAGTCCTGCAAGAATGCTTTCTTTGCCATTCCACATGACTTCATTAATAAGTTATTTGAGTCATTGCCGAGACGTATGGATGCAGTCCTCCAAGCTCATGGGAGTCATACACAATATTAATTCTTTTTCCATGGCACCATGACTTTATGTTCTGTACTGTACATTATTTTATTATGCGACAAGACTTTTGTCTAAGCAAAGTCTGACCTTTCTGTCCTAATTAAATAATTAAAAATCAAGGAATGATAAGATTTTATTTTGGTAAAATAAGCATAATGTAGAGGCCTTTGCCTTTCATATATGCCACTTCTGATTCCAAATGATCAACTAGAAGTCAAGTTATTTGTTGTTCCTACAACCTGGATAGGCGACAAGACCTTTGTCAGGGAGTGTATATGCACACATTACAAGCTAATAGACCAAACTTGCATTATGGTTATTTAATGTAATATAATTACAGTTATTAATCTATCAGATGATGAATTAACTTGCAAGCCTGCTGTTTTCTTCTGGCATGACAAAAATAAACTAAATTTTAATGACTCTGGCTTCATATATGGGAATAAATTTCACATTTAGATCCTGACCTGAAAAACATGCAAAGTATAAGTGGCACTTACTTAGGATTGATTTCCTGAAAGCAGTAAAACATAAATGCAAGAATTTTGCTACTGATGCAGAGCTCTGAAAAAAATCTCTTTTTTTACATTAAGGCTTTTTTTCAGGCCTGAGAACATGACCTTGGTAGCTGCTGGTGAGGAAAAGTAAAGAATAAAACTTCTAAACTACATTATATGATAGAACTTTTTTCCACTCTTTTCTTTGTCTCCTCTTTTTTTTTTTCTACTAGACGGCACAGTATTTCACTTTTATCTACAGATAGCAGGACTTTGTGTTATCTTATTTTGTTTGGGAAAAGATTCACAAGTACTATCTGCCCCATGATCCCAACAGACGACAAGATACAGAACTGCAAGTCTGGAAACTTCACACTGAGAAAAATGAGGTCTTTCCTAGACTACCTTTGGTGTGTGTTTAACTCTCTGGTTACACCCTCAGAAGACCTGGAAAAAATAGTGGCTGCCTGCAGCATAGTGTTAACAATACTATAAATGCAGTACAAGGATTTGTGTATTTTCTAAAAAGCTGCTTGTTTAATATCACAGCTGAAATCTAGTGCTGGAAACTGGAGTTTGAATGGATTATTCAAGGTTGGCAGATGTTGACGAAACTGTGCTGAAAAGGCAGATGTTTCAAATAAATACTTTTGACACAAATACAGTGGTTTGACTGACTTTTCATTCTGTCTCAGATATATCAAGAGAAATAAGCTATTCTGTAGCTCAGTGGCTCCACAGCTGTGTCAAATGAAATCAAGTACTCCTTCATCAACACCCATCATGTCACAAATAGGTTCATCTGAACTGATTTTAAACTGGGAATCAGTTAACACTGCTGCAATTGAACTGTCAGTGTTTAGGTCAGATTGGTCAAGTCTGCATTCATACCACTAGCGCATTTTTCTCAAAAGTTCCAGGAACTTTAATTTCCCAAGAACTAATGTAAACAAACATCCTCCAGGGATAAAAGTTCTTCAAGGACATTGTTTTTAGTATTTTCCAGTGCTCTGAGAAGATTAGTTAAATGACGACCTGTTGTGTCACTTTTAAGCATAACAATATTCAGTATAGACCACCGTAGCTCAAATTCCATTTGAATGGAAATGAACAGTAAATTTCAGAGGTCAGATTTCTGGGACTGCCATCCTTGCTGTTGGCCACAATCAAGCAAACAACAGGTTTGCATTTGCAGGTTTTTAAAAGTGGCGGGTGTATGACAATGCTACATAAAATGTGTGCTGCAAGCCCCAGCCTCTAAGTTCCTGAGCATTCAGGAAATATTACCCCCCCTGAGCACAGTCTTGTCTGGGGGCAAATTATTTTCCAGAACATAATTTAGACCCTGGATCCTCTGGAGTTCTTCAAAAAGCTCCTGTCAGGGTGGAGTACCCAGAAATACACCTTTGCCCAGCCAACAAACAGACTAAATAAATAAAACATCCTTATCCTCCTCCTGCTAACATCCTGTAATAGTTTTGGTGGGTTCCCTTTAAATTATTGGTGATGCTCCCTGGATATTAGGATTGGGACCTTGACAGGATTTCAACAGTTTCATTCTTCTTGCTTGCTAACTAGTTGTCACATGCCCTGGATTTCAATAAGAAGTGCTCAGGTGTTATATTTGATTCAATATGCCTATGTGCTTTTCTTACTTTTTTCATAACTACAATATTTTTTCCAAATCAGTTGAGCTACTTCACAATTTTTCTATGTACTCCTGGCAACTGCAGAAATACTCAGTGGGTGCATGTATGTTGTTTAAGG